ATGTAGGTTGTCTATTCGTTATTTTGGTTCGGAGTGTTATCATTGCATAACTTTATGAAGTTTTCTTTTCCTTTACTAGTTCTGAATTTTAAGTGTATCAAGAAAGTTCTTCCTTTTCTAGGATTTTGGTTTGGGTTATTCATCGATTGCTGTATCTGTCAACGTTCTTGAGAGTTCATGCAGTGTCTCAACCTTGCGCTCAGTCGTTGCATCGAATTAGCCAGAATTAAGTTCTCTTCTTTATTTCCACGCGAAGGCTGGCTTAAAACATGGTTCACATTTAGCATTTCATTTTCAGAGCTGGTATTATAGGGGGGGTCTATCGTGTTCTGAAAATAAAGGTGGGTGCAAATTAACACTTCAAAAGAGAGAAAACTTAATTTTAGTTGTACCTTTTGTTGACTTACAAGTCATTGAGTAACTCACATCTACGCATAACATGAACATAATTTTTTATTTACCTTCAGAGAAGAAAAAAGGAACTACCATTAACAAAGACAACATACAACAAAATCATATTCAGCTAAAAGAAATTGCAACAAGACAGCTTACAGTATTAGAACCAGTGAAGAAGTTGGGATGCTTATAACCATGGAAACTCCGTTTGAGTTAATTTTTGTTGTTATTAAAGAATTTCAGTAATAAAGAGAAAAATCTTTGTTCCATCAACACAGTGAGCCCTGGCAATTTCCTCAATTTTTCTACCTTATAATAAGAACAAGAAAGTATACAAATATGTTATTGTTTAACAGGAACTGAAGTTTCAGCAAATTGAAGAATGACAGTACCAATGGAACAAAACTTCTTTGTTTCATCAAGACAGTCAGCACAGACTTAGTTTTGCTTCAACATTAACTAACAAGTAAAAAGTTTTAAAAAATGTTCAAAAGGAACTTGAGTCCAAGAAAATCGAATAACTAATCAAAGAAAAATTCTTTGTTTCATCATGATAGTCACTTCAACATCAACCAAGAACAAGTAAAAAGTTGAAATAAAGTTCGGCAATAAACTGAAGAATACCTTACTAAAAACGAGGTATCAGGCACTCGGAACGTTCACATTTTGCCAAAGCCATGACATTCAAGAAGAGACTATTTCATGAGCTTGTTGAACTCTTGTGGGTCTTCAACACCCCTTGGCAAATGCAAAGTTAGGGCACATGTTGATGACCAGGGACGACGGTGGACATTTCCAGTGAAGTCGTAAAACTGCACAGAAATCAGTTAACTGCTGAAAACCTAGGGGAGGAACAGAATCCGCTCTAGTGATAAACACAAGGAGGTCCTCAAGTGTTAAACCATCTGCTTCACCTTCTTCAAGGTCCTTGAGGAAGAGCTCAAAACAATAAATCGTGGAATCCTCACGACTTCTGTTGTTTGATCCTTTCTCAGATCGGTCTAATTCATATAGGGACGAAAAAGCTCCCAAGGTAAGCTTATCATGTTTGCTACTCAAAATGGCATCAAAAACCGATTGGTTTTCCTTGACTATAAATCCAAAGTTGCCAGTGGTGTCCATCCCTTCCATGAATTGAGAAAATTCTGCATGAACACCACAAACAAAGTTTTGCCTCAGCAAACAGTCCACCACCTCTTTCTTCTGGGCCAACTTGGCAGTGTATATGTTTGGGTAACCATACTGAGCAATCTGATCTGCGTGCTTGGTGATGACTCCATCAAACTCTTCTTTCGAGCAACATTTTGCAGTAGCTCTCAATATCTCCTTCATCTGTACATCAGCGACATCCTCAATAGCTAAAGCTTGGTCAAAGGTTGCACCCCTGTGTATCTTGTAGCCCTCTGATGACAAGCATCTGGGACCAGTACCACCTTGCAAGACACTCCAAGCAACTAATTTACCATATAAAGTATACTTCTGGCTGCTCAGCTGATTAAGATCATGAGAAAACCATGAACCACTGAAAGCTGCAGATTCCCGAATACTGGACATGAGCAGGCGAAAGAACTCTCGCTTTGGCCCTCCAGCATCAACAGCCTCCTCACCAGCAAACGTTACAATAACAGGTTTGAAAAAGGAGAAGGTTTTTCTCTCAATGGCTCTGAGAGTCGATTGCAAAACAGATTTCCGACTGATAATAATACTGACAGTTTCATCTGCTTCAGGATGCTGCTGAAACGTGTCAGCTTGGAAGGATGCCAGGATGGCATTTAGAGACTGGTTTTTCCTTGCTTGTTGGTCAGTGTCACTTGCATTACTTGAGGTGGCTGTCTGTTGATCTAACAAGCTTGCCTCTATAGCAGCAAGGAAATCTGCGTCTTGATCTTCATCGATGAGGTCAACATAATTGTCATACTGTGCATGAAATAAATCAGAAGAGCCATGGGATGTTCCAGGTACAGCTGGGCTAGGTTGATCTCTTCCTATGCAGTGTTCATAAGAAGAGGTAGTAGATGTTCTAGTTGTAGTTGACAAAGAGTCTTCTTTTTCCTGACATGCTGCTGGAGGGGCCATATTTTCTGACTCAGCAAAAGACGAAAAAAGAAGAAAATTGTTTATTAGACAAAAACCTTTCAGTCATTAAATTGAATTATTCTTAACAATAAGAACATAACTAATAAGTTATCACAATATTAAAAACAGCTCTATATCCCAATCTTAGCAGCATAGTGCGGGATAAACGAGTTGTTGCATCTTTGAACCTGCTGGTTTTGATTTTCGGTAACAAGCACACATTGCAAAAGTAATGCATGGATGATTTGAAACCACAAAAACATTTTATTTACTTATTACCATCTCTCTGTCACTTTGTGTAGCGCTACTGTTAGAAAGAAACAAAAATCACTACCACGATAATAACTAAAACAAAATTAACAAAGAACTTGAAAGTAGGAAATAATACGTGGGAGAAATGGAAAATGGAAAATGACCTTTGGAACTGCTTTGCAGTGTGGAAGTTAATTTTTGCCAAATCACACATTGACCAATGTACCTACCTTTTTTTTGTACAAGAGATGATTGTCAGAATTAAATGATTAAAATTTTACACTACGCTCCCTCTCCACCTTTTTTTCATGCTCCTTGCATGTAATTTAATCTCCCTTTTTTCTGCTCAGGAAGTTATTATTATATCATACCTAGTGTAGAGGAAAACAAGCTACCATTACACAGCATATTACATACAGTGATACATGTAATGTAATCTTTTTTAGAATTGAATGTTCATTTACTCTAAGTCAAACCCTAGAACATGTTACCTCTAAAAACATATAAAATTTATCATGAAAGATAATCCATTATGTAGATATTTTATGTTCGCGTAAATCGTCTGATACTGCAGGCAGCAAGAAGCCATTCTTAATCTATATGTCTTTGCTTAAATTGCCTTTACCTTCCAATTCCACAAGATGACGACTGTCCATTAGTAAACACCGGTACATGAAGATCATCATCCGACCAACCATGTCCATCAAGATTGTCTAGCCACTTTGGCTTAAATGTGACAACGGAATCGCCAGAGGAATCTACAAGAGTCTTTGTGCCAAGGAAAAAAGATAGAATTATCCAAGAATTGAGCTTAAGTAGCTCCCTACCTACCTAAGAAAGAAAGCCAATAACAACAATAAAAGCAAATACACTGTACCTTATCTAAAGTGTCTGTGGCATGTTTCTTCTGGGGAATGTTGTCTTCAGTGTCTGATGACTTAGAACCCGACTCTAAAATTAAAAAAGGAATGATGTATATTCAGTGAATGTTCTTACAATAAAATCATTAGTATAGGTAATAGCATGATTTGTAGTGATATTTGGCATAAATACCACTAGTGATATTTCAAAATTTGTTATATGTAATTTCACGAGGCGATAGGCAAGTGAAATTTGAGGCAATTTTGAAATATCATGAGCGGTATTTATGCCAAATATCACGTACAAATCATGCTATTATTTGTCTATACTACTACCCGCAAAAGATTTGTAATTTTCACATGTAGGTATTTCAAATTAAGCTGAAATACCACTGCTCTGAGCCAATCAAATTGCAGAAATTTCTCATGTAGTAGTAATATAATACTAATACACATGTAATACTCATGCATGAATGGTAATTTGTTTTACTATGACCTGTATGTAATACAATTGGGTAGTTTTAAAGCCATTGTTTTCCACAATAATAATAATTATAAATGAATGATAACATTATTAAACCACAATATTATTTTTATTACCACAAAATTATTTAAAAAATCAGGTAATTTGACTTTTCTGTCATCTTTTCTGGCATCTGTGTCAGAAAAATTCTACCAGACTTACAGATGTATTGTGATTATTGTTTCCCGCAAACTTCAAACTAGTTTTGTATTTACAAAGTTTTTGTTCAGGATGCCTCATACTACACAAAAAGAAATTTAACTTTTGCTATGAATCAATTTGGGAAGCAAATGTACATGTACAATGTACTCTGAAAGCTTACTAGTTTTCTATATTGATCAAGGTCAAATATTAAATGTTCTTGTCTATAGTTATATAAACAGAGTTAAGCCCTTCAATAAAATACTATTATTATTATATGACTTTTTCAATAAAAAATGTTGATGTACATGTACCCATAAAATCTTCCTCGTCACAAAGAAACAGAGTTATTCTTTGGTAGGGTTTTCCAAGACATTCTTTGTAACGTTGCAGGGTAAAGGGCTGGGTCGTTCCGGGTATATATTTCACTTGCTGGAAGTCTGGATATAGTAAAAGGTATTCATGATCCTTTGGAAGGAAAATGGTGAATGCCAGATGTTTCTGCAAGGCAACTCGCTTCAGAGTAATATCTGTGATATTACTCTTGGCTTCTATAGGCAAGGTAGAACCCCTTTTCTGCTTCAGGTCACCATTGTAGTTATAAACCAATCCAACTTTAATCTGTCAAATAAAATTGTAACAATAAGATTACAACATTATACACCGTATTCACAAATGGCGGACACGCGGGAAAAAACTGGTGCCTAGTCATGAAAGCGAGGCGTTGGAGGATAAACAAAAATTGCAAATGAAGACTTTCAGTGAACTTGCAGAGTGTTTAGCACGGATTCCAACTAAAATAACTTTCTACGGACTTCTTTTTAAATACAATTTACGTGGGATGTCTTCTGCTTTTAATGTTTAGTAGCTATTTGCTGTTTGCAATCAAAAGGGACGCGTATATCTTCAGGAAACAGGATGATCTGGTAGGTTTCTCGAGGTTTCCGAAGCATCAGAGGCTCGAAGAGTAGGCGATCGCTGGAGAAAAGCGGCAAACATGTTGGCCCAAACTTCACACTGAAACCAAATACGAAAGCCAGCTTACTACAATTCTGTATTGGATCAAATTAATTCCGTCGCTTTGGAGGGAATTGTTAGAGGTAGGTTGGCAGAGCTTAGCAAAAATCTCATGATTTCTTTGTCATTGCGAAGTAATTAAAAATAATTTTATCAAAATTAGAAGCTGTAGTGTGTGAACCTTATGGCTTGCTATTTGCCTGGTTTCTTTTAGGGCATTATGTCTGAGAGCTCTTGGTAAAAAAGTGGTATAAAGCTTACATTTTACTAGGTTAAAATTTTAAGGTAATGTTTTTGTCAGGACTGAACACGGCAAGCTTCTCTTTCGAATAATTGAATTCGAGTCTGGATCAGTTTAAGAATCATTTTATTTATTTATGTATTCTTCAACTTTAAAATATTATGGAACATAAAGTTAAAACTCTTAACAGCCAAAGGTAAGAAATACGAAATTACTCGCTGAAATGATATGTGGCCGGCTTACCGAGTCTGCCGAGTAGCAAGTTGAAATTTTGAGCGTACTCCTCTCGGTCGCTCCTGCACATTAAAAAAAGGTCAACTCCGCTGATTTATTGATGTTCTTCATTGATAAAGACCAGAGAATAACGTCCTGGCGAACAAAAACCAAACATAACTTCATCGAAACCTCAGTCACCTCTTCTTTCCTGTCTTCCTTTTTCCATCTCTACTTGAACTGTTTTGTTCAACGGCAGACGTCTCTTGCGTTAACAGTTGCAAGTAGGCCATACATCTGTCACTTATTTCTTTTTTTCTTGCCACCAAGATTTGTTTATATTTCTGTTTCACCGAATTGCAATGAGCTGGCTTTCGTAGTCGGTTTCAATGTGAAGTTTGGGTCAACATGGCTTTTCTCCAGCCATCGTCCACTTGTCGAGCTTCTGATGCTTCGGAAACCTTAAAAATCATTCTGTTTCCTTGAAGATATACGCGTCCCTTTTGATTGCAAACAGCAAATCGCTACTAAACATTAAAAGCAGAAGACATCCCACGTAATTGTATTTAAAAAGAAGTCCGTAGAAAGTTATTTTAGGTGGAATCTGTGCTAAACACTCTGTAAGTTCACTGAAAGTCTTCGTTTGCAATTTTTGTTATCCTCCAACGCCTCGCTTTCATGACTAGGCACCAGTTTTTTCCCGCGAGTCCGCCATTTGTGAATACGGTGTATATTACTTTATAGTGCTACGCTGACAGAGAGAGTGTATTACAACAAAAGATCCAAAAGAATAGCAAGGCTTTAATATTGCTGTGAGCATCAATTGAACCACAACACTATGGGAGGAAAAGACATTGGCATCATCTGAAATGATATCAGACGTGCAAATTTAACCTGTACTTGTTGATCACGTGTTTTCATATTTTTCCCAGTCAGTTTCCTCTCTTCTTTTTTCTTTTTTTCTGCCTTGAGCAGAGCAGATTTGAAAATGCCTTGCCCTGCCTCTCTCTGAGTCATAAATTCTTCAAAAGTTAAACTGCTAGAAGCAGAACTAGGACATGGGCTGGATGCTGCATTTGCAGCATTGTATCGTGCACCACATGACCCGCAGAATAAAGCACTTGTCACAATATTTCTTGCACCACAAACTGAACAAAACATCCTGAAAAAAAAAAAAATCTAAAATTATAAGAAATCAACATTGGCTACTTTTCACCCTGCTGTCACTGTCTCAATTTAACCTTCATGAGATACTGAATTTTATTTTATATATATGTGTATTATTCTTATTATCATGTGACCATAGTCAGGCTGTGCAGACTCCACAGGACCTCATAAGGAATGTACATTTTTGATTCGGGGGCAGGGAACTAGGTACGTGCTTTAACAAGTGGACTATCAATGAAAATATACTTCTGCCTTGTTACCCAATCGCAACATATATCTATATCACCATTTAGTACCACCACCCAATTCTACATTACAAACAGACAGAGAACTACTATAAAATTCAAATAGTGACAGCAGTAAATGTACTGGTAATATTCCTAGACCAGCTGATTCCCTTGGATTCTCCAAATTGGCATCATTACTACTTGGTTGGCTTGCATATTCGTTGCCTGAGTCAGGATGGCACTTTGAATTTGTTGAGAAATTGCAGTTTTGTTCTGGCTCACCTAGCAGACAATTCTGAGAGTTCTGACACCCCCTGGAATGAAACAATATCCCACGAATGTGAGCTTTCACTCATGCCCAGCCAGCCCTTGGGCATCCTCCTTTTTGTTAAAAACTGAAAAATTCTTGGAGCTGGGACAAGTCAATGTCAAAAATGGGTTCATCCTGAGAACAACAATGTTGAAGATTTATAGTTAAAATATTCAGTGCGTTCCGCTAACTATTTGGGAATGATTTCCATTAACTTGGAGCGGATTCACATTATTGAAATCAATATTTACGTTTTCAATTTACGATCAGAATCTTCCAACATTAGCCTGTGCGTGAGATTACCGATCATTTGTTTCGGTCTGGAAAGATTAAACACGTCATTTTCAGGAATTTAGGCAGGGAACTTCAATACGAACAAAAGGGACTGTTCTTCACTTCCCAGAAAGGCGACATAAATATCAAAATACCACCGAAAAGAACCTTACCTTTCAAGCTCCTTCACTTTCAGCTGGCGGTGTTTTGATTACTTAGCAGCCTGGCTTTTTTTCCATATTTTTGGCGCGTTCGGACCGTTCGTATACTCTTTACTAAGTTTGCACGCGTATTATTAAGTTTGCATGCTCTTTACTAAGTTTGCACGCGTATCATTAAGTTTGCTTGCTCTTTACTAAGTTTGCATGCGTTTTATTACGTTTGCTTGCGTATCATTAAGTTTGCTTGCTCTTTACTAAGTTTGCATGCGTATTATTAAGTTTGCATGCTCTTTACTAAGTTTGCATGCTCTTTACTACGTTTGCATGCGTTTTATTAAGTTTGCATACTCTTTACTAAGTTTGCATGCTTATTATTACGTTTGCTTGCGTATCATTAAGTTTGCTTGCTCTTTACTAAGTTTGCTTGCGTATTTTTAAGTTTGCATGCGTATTACGTTCGCTTGCGTCAGTTTGTATGCTCTTTACTAAGTTTGCGTGCGTTTTATTAAGTTTGCATACTCTTTACTAAGTTTGCATGCTCTACTAAGTTTGCATGCGTTTTATTAAGTTTGCATACTCTTTACTACGTTTGCATGCTCTTTACTAAGTTTGCATACTCTTTACTAAGTTTGCGTGCTCTTTACTACGTTTGCATGCGTTTTATTAAGTTTGCATGCGTTTTATTAAGTTTGCATACTCTTTACTAAGTTTGTATGCGTTTTATTAAGTTTGCATGATGTTAATTAAGTTTGCATGTTTTTTTCTAAGTTTGTGTACGTTTTGCCATCTATTATTTGTGTGTAGTGCCTATATCGGCCACCATACATAAGAGAGATCCTCACCTTCTTGGTACATCCACCTTCTATAATCAAAACTGTGTTTACGCGCTTCAAAAGACTTAGTTCGTGCCATCTTTCGCTCATCAGAATCGAGTAAATGAAGCTGTATTTTACTCGCAAATCATCGGATGTAAAGCTTTTCCCACCGACAACATTCATGATGTTGACGACAAAGGGAATGTTGCTTTCTATCTCATTCCAAACACTATCAAAGTTAAAATCTTTCAGACTTTCGTAGCTGTGGCCATACAACACAGAGCCATCCGAACGTCTGCACAGCTTTTGACAGGCTGTGTTGATTTCCTCGTTGATGAGCAATCTTAGCGAAGAAAGCACTTGTGGGCAGTGGTCCCTTATAATTTCTGCCACATTAGACGGCGGCTCTGAATTCAATGCTCCAATAATGTAGTTATCGTTTAGCACTGGAAGCTCTTGGTCACAAACTACTTCAGGTAGCGTGTTTGACTCTTCGGCATTGTTAAGCCCACGTGCGAACGAATTTTCCTCTTCCATGGGTTCCTGATGTTCGCCTTCGTTAAACTGGACTGGTTTTTGTCCGAACATAAGCTGTTTTACGGAGGTTTTTCTGGGGATCTCGGTAGCCGCGCGCTTCGAGGGTTGTTTACAAGATGGCGACAATTCCGTGCAACGCTTCACTGAACACTTTTGTTCCAGTTCAAGTTCACTTTGAATATTCCAACTCTTTTGTTTGAAGTCGCTCACCTTGGAGACAAATGCTTCGCACTTCCTGCAGACCAACTTTGGAAGGCAATCAGCCTCGCTTATAGTAATTCCACAGACATGATGAATTTTCGCAGGAAGGTTTTTTCGACGCCGCTTTTGCCTAAGACCCGAAGCATGTGACGGCTTTCGTACGCACCACCGCAAAGCCGACAAACCGAATTTCGTGGGTGTAGCTTTTTGGGAGTCGGCAGCTCCATACAAGAGATTTTTAACACAGAAAACGTATTCGATTTACCAGACTCAATACCTCACTAACCTATACTAGCCCGCTTAAATTGGCCGTTTTTATGCTAGAGACGTTAAAGTCGTCTAGACGCATTTAACGTCTGAGACGTTAAAGTCGTCTAGTGTAAAAACGGGACGAACAAAAGTAGACGACCTTATTTAAAAAAGTAGATTTTTCTGAAAAAAGGACTAGGCTCCACTCTCGGAAGACACTGGACGCGAGTTAAAGCGGCGCCAAAAATGAACTTCAAGCCCGCGAAATGCGAACAAATTGTTCAAACTCGAACAAGGCGGCGGCGTTACAACTTTTTAAGTCTATTTCTCGCCGTCGCCAAGAAAGGCATGACTTACAAATGCAGATGTTGGTAACACAGAAAAGTGAATCGAGAAAGCGGAAACTTCAGATGATGGAAGATGATGAAATAGACACAGCCAAAGCAATAGGTTTGTGTGCCGTCCGAGCCAAACGACCCAGAAAGGAAAGAGACCCAGACGAACAGAGGAGTTCCTCGTGGTGGAGACATGGCTACCGAAATTGGGACGACAGTGCGTTCAAAAAACGTTTGAGGATAAATCGAGCAACGTTTCAGTACATTCTTGGCGAGATAGAAGCCCAGCTAGTCAAAGAGCCAACTCGTTTCAAACCTGAGCCGATACCTCCAGACACGCAGCTTGCCATTTGTTTGTATAGATTAGCCCATGGATGCACCTACAGCACAGTAGGAGACCTGTTTGGTGTTGCTGAATCAACCGCGAGTGTCATTTTTAACCAAGTATGTAAGATACTTGTTTCAACTTTGTACGACAGGTTTGTGTACCTACCCAGAAATAGTGCCGAATGGAAGCAAGAGCTTGAAAGCTTTCTTGAAAACTGGGAATTTCCCTGCGTAGGAGCCTGGGATGGTTTCCATGTTTACGTCAGCACGAAGTTGAAAAATTATTTTAGCTTCAAGAAGAGATATTCGGTATCCAGCTTGAGATTCATTGCGTCTAACAAGAGGTTTCTGTGGGCAGCTGTGGGGGCTCCTGGCTCTACCCACGACTCAAGGCTCCTGAAAAGTTGCGACCTCTTTGCTGACATTCAACAGGGACGGATTCTCCCAAGTTCTGTACTAAGAACAAGGGAGTATGGAGACATACCATTCACAACGGTTGGTGATTCAGCATTCCCACGCTACACGTGGCTAATGAAGCCGTACAGTGAAAGTACAAGAGACCCAAGGAAGCGCTACTTAAACAAGAGGCTTTGCTCGGCTAGAGTTGTGTCAGAGCATGCTTATGGCATGTTAAAAGGAAGATGGAGGATCCTTTACAAGAAGACAGAGTGTAAACTAAAGAATATCAGGCAAGTCATCATGGCCTGCATTGCCTTGCACAATATATGCATTTCAAGGGATGACCCATGCAGTCCCAGGTGGAGGCTGGACATTGAAAATCTGCACCTCATTAGGAGGAGAGGCAATGGTGAGCAAGACAATGAGGCCGATCAGGTCAGGACAAGAATCACCAACTGGCTCTGGGATATCCACCAGCAAAGGCAATCAATGGAGTAGAAGAAGAAATCAACAGAAAAATTGAGGCCTGTGTTTATATGTTTTGTACCCCAGACCACACCCAACTTACCCCCAAGCAACCAGCGGGGGGGACTAGAATGTGGAACTAGACTATGAGCAATCAAAGTGAGGACTACATAACTGTAATATCAAAATGTCTTTACTTAGTCTACTGAAGTACAAAATCCTTGGACAAAGTAAGGATTTCACTAAGCCTGTAAAACAAAATTCATTTCTTAAACATCTTACAGTTGACTAAAGTAAACATAGATATTGGGAATCTCAACCATGTTTATTAAAGTACATACCAGCTGTATAGCTAGTCCTTTATATGAACAAACATTTAAACTCCGTGGCCTATTATATCTGTTTTTAAACAGCAACAGTCTGGTAGAAACTTAGTTAACTACAGTACACGTAAAACGTTAACTAACTGTAATGTTTTAAAAACTTCTGGGCTATAAGATTGGAAAGGATGGCAAGCCTCCCACACAGGCACTCTTAGAGCTTTGTCTCATGTTCCTCATGAATGCATGATGAAGCCCTAAGAGTATCCGTGTGGGAGGTTACCGTTAGATGATAGCCTTAATAAAATAAGTAAGTGGCATGTCAATAAGCTTCTTTGTTAATCTACTGAAAAAACAATAGTAGTTATGCAAATGTTTTATGGACCTTGTACAAAAAGGTTTGCAGGCATACACTGTAGTTGATTTTTATTTCAGACGATTTAAGGATTTTTGCGGTGTTGAAATTAAAGATAATAGTCATTTATATTCTCTGGTATTTTATCAAGGATGCAGTGCATGTCAGTAGTTTTGTTGGTTGGGGATCAAGGGTGGTAGGCACTCTCAAGCTTGACACAGCACATAGGGCTACTATAAATACCCCCATTGCTATGATGTCATCCTACTTTTTCCTTAACTTCATCACTTAAAACAATTATTTCCCTTCTCTCTTAAGGCCTGATCAAATCGCTTAACCACCTTTCCCGAAATTGTCAGACATTGCTCTAAATATCTTGAAAAGCTGTCAACAACTTTTACTTTTGCTTTAAAAACAAACTTGTGTTCAATCAATTATCACTTGTGGGAGTTGAAAAAATATGTATTGGGAGAATGTCAACGTTAGTCTAATAATAATAATTATTATACTTATGTTGACAATCTCCTACAACATACTTTTTCAACTCCCAGAAGAAAGAAAGAAAAACTGTATAAACAACCTTCAATAAAAAATGGACGCATTTAGTTGAAAACCTCAGAACTGGATTATTTCGAGCATATAGATAGAGGTTACTGACACTAGTAGACATTTTAACATAATAGTGAAGGAAACCCCAGGGTTGGCCAAAAAATAGAACCCTAAATATCTTAGAAACTTCTTAATATCCCGCAAAATAACCAGACATTTGAGATCTGGACTAACCCTCTTTCAATATCTTTTGCCCCCTTTCTGATAAAGTTCACCTTATTCAACACTTCAGATAGTTTGAATCTGGAGTGGGGGACTGGACCCTCTCTATACCTTCATTCTATACCATGTGGTCCCCCCACTCACACCTCAGCAAACACAAACACACCACACCTACCAACCCCATTTTGCTTAATATCTTTTCCAATCACCCTCTTCCTGTAAAATGCAATTAGGCAAATGCAAAATATCAACTTGTTCCTAGCATGATGCCAAAAGTACTACAGGCATGTGGCAAAACCCTAAAACAACAATCACAATCTAGCCTGTAAATACAGACAGATTTCAGGTTAAAGCTTCATGCTGGTTTAAAAACAAAACAATGATAAAACAACAGCCTGAAATATTTCCTTGTTGACAGGCTAATCAAGCAAAATTTGCCGAATTTCACCTATTAAAAGGTTTTTCGAGAAGGCACTCTACCGATTATAACTATCTAAATTTGTGTAGTGTGGTTGTTGACTCTCAGCTCCAGAATAGGCACTTGGAAATGCTGGTTCATGCATCACCCAAGCATTTTGGTATGGTTGCACAGGCTGCTGAAAACGGGCCACCATCTCCATCATACGCAGTTCATGTTGTCGGTTGAGTTCTGCCTGTTTCTCCTGATATTTAAGAAATGCTTCTTCCCTTCTCTGATCTGCCTCAAGCCAAGTTTGGATTCGTTTATCTTGTGCTTTTTGAAGATTCTCAAAAGTTGTAGATAATTGGCTGATGGCATCTTTCTGTGAAGTTATTTTACGTTTTCTGGGCCGAAGAGAGACACTTGATTTCTGTACCTCCTTCTTGTCCTTCTTGGATGCCCTCTTTAAAACAACTTCATCTTCCTCAATGGAAGTCCCGTCATGGTCTGCATCAGTTGGTTGACATTCGACTCTGATCCAAAAATTGAAAAACACCTTTTTTAGGTTCAGGAAAACTGAAATTTTAACTGTATTTTGAGTCAGGTTTCAATACAGTGAGGCAAATTAAGTTGAAGCACTGACATATAAACATTCAGCATACTTTTATATCAAAATCACGTACACTGGCATGACCATGTACAGGTGTGTATCTGGTACAGTGTGTTGTAGGCCTGTTTCTGACTGATCCTGCATTGGTTAAACGTGTGTGTGTTAAATTATTCCTTTAAAATTCTGAGAAAATATGAAACCATTATATTCTAATTTACCTGTTACATTCTTCGTCACTCTCATCCACTGTCAAGTGTTCAGAACTTGCTTCTGCTGAGGAGGAACTTGAATTTAACGCCTGCTTCTTGTCACATGGCATCATAGCAGAAGCATTCTTCGCCATGGTTACTTCAGTCTTGTCTTCCTTGTAATTGTCACTATATTCATCATCTTCACTGCTACAGGTACCATCACTTTCTATGTCTGCTGCCTTAGTGGCAACCTTTAACTCTGTATGCGTTTCAGACAAAATGGGGTTCATTATGTTAAACCATTCAGGTTCATCTATTGCTGATTTACCACTGCCAGACTTTGCCCTGTCGGTGTATTTTCTCCACTGCTCTTTCAGCCATTTATATTTTGCTCGTAGCTTAACAACTGATGTATCGATATCCTTTGCTTTTCCTTTCTTAGAACTGGTTGTTGTCTTCGCTTGTAAACGAGCATCTAACTCTTTCTTCATGGCTTCAAAAATATGAACATTAGCTGACTTTTTGAGTGCAAGAGTCTCCAAAGTTAATGCAAATTCAGTTCGGTCGTCTGCAAGAACAGATGCAAACTCCTTAAGTTCATCCTCACTCCACTTTCTACCACGAGACTCCTTCATGCTCTTCTTGGCCGCCATGTTGTTTTGCACTCGTCCCAGTCGTCTCTGGACGAGTCGAGCATAAGTGCGTCCTAGTTTACGACGTCCCGTCTTTATACCAGACGACTTTAACGTCTGAGAGGTTAAAGTCGTCTGTTAAGTGCGTCGTTCGGACGCACTTAACAGAAGACGTTAAAGTCGTCAGACGTTAAAGTCGTCTGCCTTATTTACCGTTTTTATACTAGTCGTCTTAAGACGACTTTAACGTCTTAGACGACTTTAACGTCTCTAGCATAAAAACGGCCATTTATGACTTTTTGCTTTTTTGCGGGGAATTCCAACTACCAATAACAATGGAGGGTTTAAGAGCGGTTGCATAGCGGTTGCATAAATTAGAGCCCACGAAATATTTATGACGGATCACGTGACCAGCCGATGCCAGGGTCTTTTCCCGCCCCTCCCAATTTCAATGGGAAAAGCCCTGGGAACGAGGTTGAAAACTGGACATAGTTTTCGTTCTCCGACCGCTGACCGTTTAATCTTGTTTTTGATCT